TGCTGCTGAAACTGACCAGCAGCTGACTACAGGAAGCCCGAGGCAGAGTTGCTCTGCCCTGGCCTTCCTGGAATCAGTCGCTGATCAGTTTCAACAGCGGCTGAATCTGGACACCTGGGACAGAGCAGCTGGGGCGCTGCCGGGTAGGTCCCCACAGCGCCGCACCTCGGCGCTGCAGGGACCAACCTGGCAGCACCCCAGCTGCTCTACCCCAGGTGTTCCCAAGTCAGCTGCTCCTGAAACTGATCAGCAGACCAGGGAGACGCGGAGCGGCTTTTCTCGCCGCGGCTTTGCTTCGCATCTCCCTGGTCTGCTGGAGGGCCCCCCCCAGCAGACGAGGGAGATGCGGGCGGCAGGACTGCCGAGACGCGCCGCGGTCCCGCCCGCATCCTCCGTGGCTTTGCTCCGCGTGATAGTTTCAATGAGAGAGTTTCCTTTCATGTTCCAGAAGTCCTGAGTCAGCTGGGGCAGCTACAGCCAAGAGGGAACCATGCCCTCTGTGGCTGCTGAACAGAAACAACTTTAGTTTCCATGGTTGACTCTGCTTCTGGACAAAGGCCAGGTTCCCATGTTGATTTCATTACTTTTATTAGCTACTACTGGTATGGAATGCTCAAGGTATAGCTGACATGACATATCTATAAGATCGCTCCTCAGTGGGTTGTTGGGGGTAGCTATCCATCCCCTCTGATGTTGTTCCATTCTCTTGCATCTCTTGTTCGGAGAAATTGTTATACATTTGGGGACACAGTATCATCAGTTTGCCGATAAACTTCCTGCTCATAAAGTAGATACTGGGCTTTCACCAATTACTTGGATGTGACTGAACCAACTGATGTTCTGTCCAGAAAAAAATGTATGGTGATGCTGATTAGCAGAGGGAACAACTTGAGTTGTTCCATTCTCTTGCATCTCTTGTTCGGAGAAATTGTTATACATTTGGGGACACAGTATCATCAGTTTGCCGATAAACTTCCTGCTCATAAAGTAGATACTGGGCTTTCACCAATTACTTGGATGTGACTGAACCAACTGATGTTCTGTCCAGAAAAAAATGTATGGTGATGCTGATTAGCAGAGGGAACAACTTGAGTAATTGGGAGTGGGGGGGGGGAGTCCAGTGGCTGCTGATCCATTGGTGGACAGTGTTTACCCATTTTCTAACTGGCTTTCACTATTGCAGTATTTTTTGATCCCTGATTGTTATTGGATCTGAGGTGGCTCATGCAGAATGTACTTACCGACCTACCGGCCTTTTTGGTGGGGGTTGAGGCAGAGGACCTCATTGAGACATCAGATCCCAAGATGGATCAGTTCCCAGCTTCACAGGTGATTGTTCAGCCCCACCCAGTCAGAGCTTCAGGGCTCCATGCATGGAGCTCACTGACGGGGCGGGCCTGATTAATCACCTGTGAAGTCTGTTGTGCTCCTGTGCAGCTTAGAGGGAACACTGGTGGATAACCTCACCCACTCTAGTCCTTCCTATATTGCTCTGCCAGTTTTCTAGACTATTAACGATACCATCAAAACACCTGCAACCCCACCTCCTTACCACCACCAACAAAGAGGAATGAATGAAAGTACTGCATTCCCTCTAACAGGTTCCCCAGTAGTAGTCATGGCAATGAGCAGGAGTGCCAAAGCTTATCTGGGCCTCTTCCCCCCTCCCCCTGCCAAAAATGGAAAGCTAAAAGCTGAACATTTTTCAAGAAAAATCTACTCCACTGGAGGGCTCCAGCTCCAAATATCTAACCATCAAGCCATCCTCATCAGATACATTTACAGCCTCTGCAGAGCAATGGCAACATTTACAGAGTTGTTGCCAGCAGACTCCAGGACAGAGTTTTCCTACTTAATAGAGGGTGTCAATCTCATTTCCCAAGCTTCACTGCAGGCAGCTCTTAAAGTGGCAGATGTGGCCATCTGCATCATGGCCTTGGAGATAGCCATGAGAAGGAGCTCCTGATTATAGGTTTCAGGGCTCTCACAGGAGATCCAACAAACCATTGAAGCCCCCTCCTTTGATGGCTCAGCCTGTTTTCAGAAAAAAACTGATTCATGGCTTCATAGGGTTAAGGACTTGAGAGCCACCTTCAAGTCCCTTGGTCCCCTGTCCAGCTACACAGAAGATAATTTAAGCCACAACTACTGCCTCATTTTTACCATCCACAAGACAGACGGAGGAATAGAAATAATAGAACCAGGCCTCCCCTACGACTCTGGGGAAGTCAAACAGTCTGCTGGCCAGAAGCAGAACTTTTGAAGGTATGCCCAAGGTTGATGCACCAGTCCAAAGTCTGGATACATCCCACCTCACCTTCTTGTACCAACTATCGACTTTCTACCCTGCATGGGCCCAAATTACATCCAATACTCCACACCACAGAAAGCAGTAGAAAAGGGATACTCTCTCCAG